TGGTGACACGCGAATGGATGAACAGCTGGAGAAGCGGGAATTGGGGGCTGATTTTGCATGGGGTCTGAGGAGTTTATTATGAGTGTTTATTTTGTAACAAGTACTGACTGAAGAAGAGGATGGCGATGCTGCAGTTTGATACAGATGAATGAGCCTGGAACGGTAGAGCCGAAAGAATCTCGAAAGTACATAATGTACATGCTCGAACGCTTGATGTCGGCAGAGCTGTTATCGGTGACGCAAGAGCGCGATAACGGACGGCATGCATCATAGCAACGACACCGACTAAGCGGAATTGGGCAACTGACGGTGCCGAGCAGGTACATTCACGTCCAGTCCAGCGTCGCAGCACACGCCCTGACTCAGGCATGCCGGTACTTACTTGTCTTGCCTGTGAATGGACAGGGCGTCGTCGCCTGTAGGCAGCCATGCGCCAATCTGGACGGCAAGAGTACCGAGATGCATGTTGTGCAGTCGGGCTCGAAGGGTCGTTTTGGCCTTTTGTTTGCTGGGACAACGTCGTGGCTGCAATCATGCAGAGGGACCACTAACACCGGTATTGACGGGTTGGCTGTGCGTACGATACCAGGTAGCACAGACGGCAGCCTAATCCCAACACAGAGCCTCATTAGGCATTACTGATCTTTGAAGATGCAGCTTCTTTGGTCTGACTTCATCATTGCCTGTCCACTTGAAAAGTACACAACGGTGACCGGGGTCAACTGACGGCTCGCCGCCCTTGTGCTCACCCAGCGTCCACATACGTCCACTTTCGTCAGGTATCGCGGAGGTACCGCCCCCGTCCCGGCAGGCAGCGCACCCGCATGCGGACCTCCTTATCGCAACCTGCCGGGTACCGCACTGGAGCAGCCCAGCCCGCCTGTGGCTCCGTGAGGCGCTGACCGCCAGCGCAAGCCTTTAGGCTCTCGGCCAGCGAGGGAGACGCCCACCTGCACTCCATGCGTCCCCTAGCCATTCACTAACTTTGGGGGCTCTCACAGGCCTGGAGAGCCAGAGGTCACCAAACCGACTCATCCGCCCTGTGTCGCCTGACCTCAGCTTCCGGCTCTTGCTTCCTCTCCTCTGTTCAACACCGTGGCAAGGCGGGCAAGTTGCGTTTGCTCGATCAAACACCCGCCGGACTCTTACTCATATCATTCCGTGCAGTAGACTATTGTCGTCTCTCCCTCTTTAGTCTTTTTCTATTGCTTCTTGGGCTTATCCTCCCTGTTGTATGCAAGGGAGAGAGCAGCCGCCTTACTCTTTGCTCGTGCAAGCGCCGTTCGTCATCGCCCATCAACCTGCTTGTCACTCCCATCGCATCTCTGCTCCAGCGATCAGAAAAGCCCGATACATTTCGAACTACGGCGTCGCAACACTGCAATAGCTGCAGCTTACCAACCCATCGAGGTGACAGCCGTGCCAGCCACTTATCGTGGGGGCGGCGGTAGGTGAAGGGGCACCATGTTCTCCGAGTGTGCGTCATGACATCGAACCCGTCCAAGCCCGCGTCCGATGAGCAGCTGCTAACACGCTCTCGCCAGACGCCTCACGATTCCTCGCGCAGTCCCAGTCCAGGCTGTCCAGCTTTGGCCAAGCAGACAACGATAATCCACCCCGGCAAAACGACTGGTCGTCATCCCGCCCGAACCGACCCTATCGAGACGCCGGCCGAGGAACGGGGGGTCAGAGATCCATCCTCGGAAGAGGTTATGGCGGCAACCCATATCAGAACGGCGGAGGAGGGGCTGGCGGCGGTTCGCGCTTCGGTCAGCTTGCGTTTGGGTCTCGCATAACAGCTGCGCAGGACGCGCCCCTGTTTCACAGCACGCTGGACGAGTATCGAGAGGACGACGACGAAGAGGAGCGCGACAGGGAGGCTGCTGATCTCTTTGCACTTCAGAGGTCACGACGGGTCGCCGCTGCTAGCAAGCTGGCCGATAGCGTAGAGTCGGATGCCAACAGTCGCGAATCGCTCGATGAGAGCTCCAGGCAGTTCGACCACCCCTATCGAGCTCAAGGCTTCGGTCGCGGCATCAAGAGCAGTTGGAACGGGACGAGGAGCTCATACCAGGCTACTGCTGCAAAGGGTGCACCACTAGAAGAGGAGGAAGCGGAACACGTTGATCACGGCGGCAGGGATGATGACAGCGACCACAGCAACGGCCATCATAAGGGGAAGATGGTTGATGTTGGGCTGGAGTCACAGGAGGATGCTGATGACGACCCGCCGGAGTCGCTCCTGGAAGAGACAACAGACAGCAGCCCCCCGGCCTTCCAACGGTTCAAGGACCCGTCGGGACGAACGCCGCTGCTGGATAGATCAGCACGGAGCGATATCGACATGGACAGCGTGCGACACGCAGAGCCTCCAGAGGTCGATCCGAATCCCCCGGGCCTCTCCTTCGTCGAGGGCGAGATATTCCGACACGATCCCTTCTTTGCATGGATATTTCTCATCTGTCTCGCCGGCATGATGTCAACGTTCTTCTTGGTGTGGCTTAACACGTCGCCCAGGAGCAGTCCTGTGGGCGACACCATCTATACGACATTGCAGAAATCCTTCCACATGCTGGCTGTCGACACCGTGGTGGCCGTATTAGTGTCGTTTGTATGGCTGGCTGCATTGCGGTCCTTTGTGCGGCCGCTGGTGACGGTTATCCTAGTCGCCGTGCCAGCCATCATGTTTTCCTTCTCCGTCTTCTCGTTCGTCTCATCGTTCAAGGGGCGAACGCACGGGGCAAGCTTTCAGGATATCGTCATGAGATGGACGGCACTCGCCCCTGCGGCCTCGTGTGCCTTGTGGCTCTGGCTCGTCGTCAAAGGCCGGAGGGCTATCCAGCAGGCCATTGAGATTCTGCAATTCTCCTCCAAGATCCTGGCTCAGAACCCAGGTCTCTTGCTGGTCGGCTTCGGTTGCCTGGCCCTGATCGTTGCCTGGACCTGGATCTGGCTGGCCATGTTCACGCGTGTCTTCATGGGCGGCTATTTCTCCAAGTCTTTGGTTCGATTCGTTATCCGATTCTCCAGCTGGTGGCTCGGCGCCGCGTTCGTCTTCATGTACATGTGGACGCTCTCCGTCATCAACGCGGTCCATCGAGCGGCGACCGCGGCGACAGTTTCTCAGTGGTACTTTCACCGCAACGCCGGTCCTGCCGCGCCTTCAAAGGAGATTGTCATGGCCGCCTTGGGCCATGGCATGACGACCATATTCGGCAGCATTTGTGAATCAACGCTGCTGTCTCTGATGATTCGAGCTCCCTTGATCTTCTTGCCCAGGAGGCTAGGCGCCATCATCACAAACGTTGCATCGTTCTGGATACCGACGCCTGTTGTGGCTCTCACCAACCCTCTGACAATCACCTTTGCAGCCATTCACTCTCAAGGGCTGGCCACGTCTGCCAGGGGCCTTGATCAGATGGAGTTTGTATCACCTGCCATTCCTACCACTACGTTGACGCCAAGGGCGTTACGCCTGCGCGGCCAGGCCAACAGTCTGCTGCCCTACCGCCTGGCCAAGTTGCTCCTGGTCGCCACGCGACTGATTATGGCTACGGGACTTGGATTTGCGGGCTGGGTCATCACGGCAAAGCAGCTCCGAATCCAGCTCCCAGACGGCGTGGGCGTGCGAGGATCAGCGTATGCATATGTGGTCGGCATCATGGCTAGTTTTATCGGGTATTCGGTTATGGGCGCAATGGAAGGTATTCTCAGCGGAATTGTCGACGCAGTTCTCATCTGCTACGGGAGCGAGCGACGAATGGAGAGAGGTCACGGACGGTTCTGTCTCGAAGCCGCATATTTGTTTGGCGAGCGGCGAGGAAGCGGCGAGGACCTCGGATATGAGTGAACAGGTTGGACCGGGACAGCTCACATATGGCATCTCCTTTGTTGGCACGCTCGTGCTTTGTTTTCTTTTATTACTTAGTGCATCATTCGAATTTTGCTCCATGCTGCGGACTTTGAGATTGGTTGACTTTGATGATAGATTGGTAGAACTTTTGGCTTACTGGGACTCAAAAAAGTCATGCAGCGGATGGGGGCTGTTGCTGCAACGAGCTCCAAGCGGATAGGATGGGAATGGATTTCAATTCAGCTGTTCAATATTTACTTCTGAGTTCCTCTAAAGTCTCGCATCAATCATATAAATCTCATCATTTATTTTTGACGATGTTCGTTCTCCTGCCGGATGCTGCTTTGAAGAGAGATTGATATTGTAGAGTTGGGTCTGTTCCTTTCATAAGCGGTTAGACACTTTGGCCGAGTGGTTAAGGCGATGCCCTGCTATCAATCAGGTATCATAGGCATTGTGTTCGCACGCGCAGGTTCGAATCCTGCAGGTGTCGTTTATTTTTTGCTTTTTTTGCTTTTTCATCCTCCATCCTCTTCCCCTGTCTTTTTTATTTGTTTTGTAAATTTGGTTAGGCAGTGTCAGTCAGGATGGAAATGCTTTACAGAAAATGTTTCTTCAATCCTCTTGTTACCAGTTAGTACAACGAGCGGAAGTGTGCTTGAGCTAATATCGTGAAAGCTTCATGAGGCAACTACAATTCAATTCGAGAATATGCATATGCATGGAAAGGCGTCATTGGTCTAGGGGTTAGGATTCAACTCTTCCATGTGTCTTCATGAAAAGTTGAGGCCCGGATTCGAGTTCCGGATGACGCAAGTATCTTTTTTGTTTCGTTTTCATTTTTTAGACCTTTTTTTCTTGTTCGTTTTCTATAAGTAAGGGGCGTCGCCTGGCATTTGTTGTGACTTGACAGGTTTTAGTTCGAGGAATTGTGTCTATATCACACTGTTGATTCATTTCCCGTTGTTCATTAGTCTTGATATCTGTGCATATGCTAGAATTCGGCTCATCAACTATTATAGCAACCAAGGCATCAGACGTATAAGCAGCGTAACATGATCCATTATCCACCTCCAAGGGGGGCTCGTATTTAGATACCTTAGCTGTATGTACTCCATATCTTCTGATTGCCGCCCCATCACTTCACTCATCCCCCCTCCTCCCCAGGCACCTCCTCATAAACAAACCCGCAATCAACCTCGCTCAGCACAAACTCCACCCTAGACTGCGCGAAATCTGCCAGGTCCTGCGGCGGCAGCTCCTCCTCGTCAAACTCCCGCGCCTTGTTCGCAGCGTGCAGCCGGGCGTCCGACGGTTGTCTTCCCGGGTCGCGAAGCCTCCGTAGGCGGATGGCGTCCTGGCCACGGCTTGCTGCGAGCCTCTGGTCCCGGGCCCTTTCAAAGGGGATGAGGAGGGGGTTTGCGGGGTCTTCGGCCAGGTGTGCTTCGTGGCGGAAGAGGCCTGTTGAGGCGTAGTTGGGGCCTTGGACGGCGCCAATGGTAGGGTTGGGGTGGATGACGATTTGCTGCGTGTCCAGATACATCCGCCTCACCAGGTCGGCAATGTGCATGTCATCGTCGTGATCAACTACCATGCTATTCAGCTCTGCTGGATCATGATAAGGAGGTTCTGGCTCAGGGTGTGGTATGAAAGGCGTAGGTCGTCGTAGTCGCCGGTCAACGCCTGGGATCTTGATGAAATGTGCCTCTGGCTCGTCCTCCCTGTCTACGGAGAACAGAAACACGCGGCCCGTCGCATCGCCAACCACCATCTTTCTAAGATCGGGAGAGAAGGCGCCGCAAGAGATGGGGCCGGGGGCCTCCAAAAGGGTCCGCACGTACGGGTTCGATTTCTGGCGTATGTTCCACACCATGACGGTCCCGTCGCTGGCACCTGTGTAGAATCGATCGAGGCTGTTCCCCCAGGCGGTAAACTTGACTCCCGTGTCTTCCTTCTCGCGGTCCTCGTAGTATTCGTCCAGGGGGCGGCCGTGCTGTAGAATCAGCACGGGCTTGTCTCCCTGCGCAGTGTCCCACACATACACTTTGCCGTCCGTACACCCTGCCGTTACGTATGCGTGCGTCGCCGAGTTGGGCATAAAGGTAAGCTCGTTGATGTCGGATGCGAAACAGTCGAGGTTGTGATACTCGGCAAACCCGTCGACTTGCGCTCTAAACAAGTGGATTTGAGACCGCACCCCGGGCATGGCCTTTATGTGAGAAGGAGAGGTTGCGGCAATGAACCTCGGCAAAACGGGATGCCAGGCCACTTCAAAGTAGTTGGCAGTTGCCGCCGTCGTGATGGGGATTCTCTGGTTGTGAACCGCGTCCCAGAGCGTCATCTCTCCCGTGTCGTGCTTTTCTTCAGGAATGTCATGGTCATCCCCGGAGAAGCTTCGAGGAGAATATCCCACCGCAAGCAGATGCGTGCAGCTTGGCCCACGGCCCCATTGCATCGTCGCAGGATAATAAGCCCACTTACCCGAACCGTTGGCGTCGGTACGGGTGCATGAGAAGGAAATGTAAGGGCTGTTAGCAAGGTCACTCATGTTGACGGTGTATATGCGAATGGCCTCCGTTGGGACGTCGGCCGCAGTGGCAACTCGCCCAGAGCCGTCCTTGGCCGCGGAGACAAAATTGACATTGCCGCCAAAGTACCAGGTCGCCAACGCAGTCATGGTGCTGCCAGCCTCGTCAATTTTCCACACCTTGACCGTCCTGTCGAAGCTGGAGGTATACGCCAAACCAAGGATGGGGTCATAGTCAGAGCAGACAACAGACGAGTAAAGCCATGGATCCTGGCTCTGGCGCATGGCCGTCGTCGAGTTCTCCCCTTTCTCGACCAGCGGCCGCGGAATCCTATGGTCAGGAAACGCTTTGAGCTGCCCTAGCTTTGTGGAGAGGAGGAGCAGGTTGCCAGGCTTGTTATACTGCTGGTTATGACTGTCCGAGTGAACAGTCGTGCCGCACAAGACGTTGTTGTTGGGAACCCAAGTGGTCGTCGCAATGTCTCCAGCACAGTTTGTGTACTCTGCAACCAGTGTCAGGGAGTCTTCGTGCAGCTTGCTGAACTCGTTCTGGAAGTTCTCGTACTGGCGCATGCGACCGAACCCTCGGTTTCCTTCCATTTCGCGAGCCAGAAGCAGGGACGCCAGCCGGCTGGCGCGCCTCTTCTCCTGTTGCGGGAGAGCCTTACTCGCCTTTGGGTCCAAGCTCAGAACCCGTGCTTGGCTGGGCGGCACTGCTTTGCGTGCGAGTAGATCCGAGCAGTAATTGCGCACATCTTCAGGTGTCCGGCGAGGCAAAGCATTCTCGACGATGGACGGAACATTAAGATGCTGGCAGATCTGTGCCAGATATTCAGGGGTCGCAGGGCTGCCCGGGGGGAGATACCTTGAGAGGCACGCCATGATTTGCTGAACCTCCTCAGAGGTAAAGTCCACATGATAGACAAGGGGGCTGGTGATTTGTTCTCTCAGCTCGCGATACAGGCGGTCGGCGCCTTTGGCAATGAGCACGCGATCTGCTGCTGATTGGTACGGCCGCTGCTCGAGCCCAAACCACGCGTTTTGCGATGGGCCAGTGCTGGCAGCTGGCTTCCACCTGCTGCCATTCTTTGTGTTTGGGGCGGCTTCGCGTCTCCGAGCTGTTGGGATTGCCGGCTGTCTGAGCTGTATCCACCGTCGTCTCGGCGGGCTCGGTTTAGGGCTTGCAGGTGTTTGCACTCTTGCTACTATGTCGCTCTGAACTGGCAGGCCCTCGCTCTTTATCGGTACGCTCTCGCTTGTGATTGGCGGCGGTCTTGCGGGAGTGTTGATTCGGAACTCCTTGAATATAAAAGTCAGCCTCATCAGGGTTGATAATCGGCTTCACGCTGCACTTACAGGTCTCTTAGCCAGCTCCGTAATGATCATTCTCGCTCTTGTAGTCGTCCACTCATCATTGGGAGGCAGGGTATAACCGTTTGCCTGGTCTAAGCGAGTGACAAACAGCGGATCCTTGGCGAACAACGAAACGGCCTGCAGTCACTGTCAGTTCTCGCATGCTCAACTCGGCTCAACGCTCGCCTCCCGCACATACCTTGATCGCAATCTCATCAATAGTGAACTGCGAAGCCGGCAGGTATTTCAGCGCCTGGCTCACGTAGGGAGACACCTGCTGACACGCGATGTTCTGCTTCTCCGCCCAGCTGAGGGCCACGCGCCTCTTCTTGGCCGGCGGCCCGTCGTCGTGCGGAGGAGGGTCATGCTGCGGCCGCTGTGGCGCCTGAGGCGTGGACGGGGCAAGCCCAGGCGGATGAGCGAGAAGCTGAGGCTGGCTCTGGTGATCGATCCCGCCTCCGTTGGCGACTGTGATATTGCGGCCCAATGCCAGCGGCGAGCGCGGCGGCGTCTCGGTCAGGTCGATGACCAGGGGCCTGGAGGGAGAAGTAAGCACGAGGCTCATCGAAAAGGCCAGCTCGCCCAGCGGCCGAGGGCGAGCGTCCCAAGCAGGGCCGGCTATATCGCGATACAAGGCTCTATCGACGCGGCTGAGGGTGTTGTCACTTACCCCATCGCGTGCCCCGACGTTGAAGCTGCCCAAATTCCTTAATTAACTAAGGGATAGATAGAGATGGGGGGCTTAAAGGGGGCCTAAGAGCTAGCTATGAAGCTAGGACCCATGTGACGCTATGTTACGTAATACAGAACTGCTTTCTTTCTCTTCTTAACTTATTGTTATATCTTCTTAAGCTCTTCTTAACTTTATATAATTTTAGAATTTCTTTATATTTTTCTTAGTTAATCTTAGTAATCTTAAATTATAAAATTATATTAGTGTAGATTTTAATAAAGAGCTATTAATCCCTATTAGATAATTTTATACTGTTTTTAAAACTTATAAAAGGTTAATCACAACAGCTTGAATTACTCGCAATATCGCAGTTTGCAGTCGGCATTGTCTTCATTCAAACAGCACTTGACTCAATTGTGCTCTCATTGCGCGTTTGCGCCGCGTCCATACATAAGGAGTAAGCTTTAGAAGCACACGTTGTGTTTTAACAAAGCTCTCCTGACCTTCCTCCCCAGCCTCTTAAAGAAGGTCCTAATGCATCACTCAGACGTAAAAACACGACTCTCTATTATATGTTAATCTAACTTGACTTCTGTCTAACGCAGTTATTATACAGTTCCATGTCTTGATCTGGGGTACCATTCGCAAGTTGTGACCCCGAGAGCTCGAATTGCGAATTGCGAACGTGCGAATACTCCGGTATCGAAAATTGCGAACGTGCGAGATCCGGTCTGACTCGTCGGGACCAGCCGCGCATTCGAGCCGCAACAGACGCCACGCCAATCAATTTCACGCTCGCCATGTGTATTTACCAACTCTCCCAGATACTTTGAAACATAGCTTTAAGGGATTCCTTGAGGTTTAATATGTCAGGTATCAAGTTTTAAAGAGTGCGCATGTGGGTGGCGTTCCAAGATGGCTCAAGCTGGGGTCTATTTAGGAGACGTCAAAGACCTTAGCGCATGCCACGGGCATTTCAAGCTCAGTGAAAAACACCGTCGCAAGTGCTCTTGGAGTGAGATATCTATTGGATACCCTGAACTCTCAGCTGTTTGCGATGTCACATAAGGACTACGGGAAGTAAATAAATTGCGTTGGAAGTTTCTATGTAAGGCTAGGCTACTACATGCTTTGCACTTCGAGAAAACGAAGAATAAGAGAATTATTCTAGGTGGTAAATTATTTAAAGAGATTCGCTAGATATATCTTGCAGTTAAAGTAAGGTATATATAAATAAAATAATAGAATTCTTTCTTATATAATATAGAAAATAACTATAGCTGTAGTTTAAATTTCATATTTAGGTTAGCTATTTATATAATATTGCTTAGTAAATTAGCTCTAGGTGTCTTCTAAAATAAGGGTTGTAACTGTCCATTTCTGTCCCCAAGAGCAGTGTATCCGCCTCAAACACCTCGTCAAGCTTCAAGACCACAAACAACGTAGGTACATCATACCAATACCAACCCCAGCCCTTTTTATATAATAACACATAACACTCAATGGATCCGTGTTCATACATCTCAATAATCTAGAGACACAGCACGTCTATCAAAGACATCACCAAACGCAACATGAATCAAGACATAGCAGGGAAACACGCCGCCTATATTTGCTGCAAATACACAACACAACCGCCCCAGCTCAGCCAACCAGATCACTGCAACTGATAGACAAGACTAGGTATCCAAACACATTAATGCAAAGAAAGAATATAAAAAAAAAATTTCTCGCTCAATAACAACACCATGCCCAAGTCATGTACAATTCTACGTCTAAGTCTTACAGCTTGGCAGGGCCAGTCTCGGCGTTAATCTCCTCGTACATCTTGTCAATCTGGGCCCTAAAGGCCTTGGCGGTCTGAGGCCGCTTCACCTTGAGACTGTCATGACAAGTTAGCGGCTGTTCCATGTAGTTGGAGATGTTTTTTCTCGGAGTTTGCACTTACGTGGGCGTGAGCAGTTCGTTGTCAATGGTAAAGGGGTCCACGTCAAGGTAGACGTTGCGCACGCGCTCAAAGCTGTTGAACTTTTGCTTCTGCGCAATCTTGTTGAGCACCTTGAGGAACTCTTGCTTCACCTTGGGGTGGTTGGCCGCCGCCTTGAGGGCAGGGATATCGGCAGCCGTGACGGTCTCGCCCAGGACCTTGCTGGCGAAGGGAGGGAAGTTCTCCAGGTCGATTCCGAAGATGCCAACGAGGGTAGACTCCTTGGGATCACCGTGAACATAGGCCATGGCAATCAGGTTGGTGTTGCCCAGGTAGACGTTCTCGATGCGCTCGGGAGAGATGTACTCGCCCTGGGACAGCTTGAGGACGTTCTTCTTGCGGTCGATGATCTTGAGGCGGCCCATCTTGTCAATCTCGGCAATGTCACCGGTGTGGAACCATCCATCGGGTTCAATGGCCTTCTTGGTCTCCTCCTCATTCTTGTAGTACTCGCGGAAAATGCATGGGCCTCGCATAAGAAGCTCGCCGCGAGGGTTGGGCTTGTCATCGACGGTGTACTCGAACTCGGGGACGGATTCCAAGCAAACCTCGACACAGCCAGTTGGGGGTCCAATGTTGCCCAGGCTGAAATCGCCGGGAAGCTGAACGGTTCCTACAGCGTACGTCTCGGTCATTCCGAAGCCCTGGTAGAAGTTGTTGGCAAAAGCAGCGCGGAGGAACTCCTGAACATCGGGATCGAGCTGCGCACTGCCGCTGATCATGGTGTGGGCTCTGTCCAAGCCCACGGCGGCCCTGACCTTGGGAGTCCAGATGCGGTCGTACAGGAAGTGCTTGTTGTGTGCCTTGCCAGGCGGCAGACGCATGCTTGCCTTCTTGGTTGCGATGACCTGACGAGACAGCGCTCCCTTGGTGCCCTCGGCTTCGACTGTGGCGGTTCGGATCGCGGAGTTGAAGCGGTTGAACAGCCGGGGGACGGAAATGAAGCCTGTGGGCTTGAGAATCTTCATGTCGTCGACCAGGCCCAGGATGTCGCCGCGGAAGAAGCCAATGCTGGCGCCCTCGGACAGGGCGACCTGGTCAACCATTCTGCCGTAGATGTGGGCAAGGGGCAGGTAGGAAATGTGAATGTCCTTTTCGGTCACAGCGCCCTGCAGACGACTGGACGAGATGGCCGACACGGCATTGCCGTGCGTGATGACGACGCCCTTGGGCGCTCCAGTGGTTCCCGAGGTGTAGTTGATGGTGCAAACATCGTCCCAGCCGGCCGGGCGCATGGGGCGGCCCGACTTGGCACCAATCTCCTCCACCTGCTTGAAAGAGTAGATTTTGATGCCGTGCTGGGAAGCGATTTCGTTCAAGACGGCAGCCTTTGTCAGGTTCTTTTGCTCGCCCTGCTCCAGCTCGTCGAGCGAGACAATCAACTTGAGGGTCGGAATTCGAGGGGCCATCTTCAGGAGGGTTGGGATATGCGGCAGAGAGCAAATGACGCAGGCAAGTTCGGCGTGGTTGATGATGTACTCGGACGTGTCTGGGCCGAGGGTGTCGTAGAGCGACACGGTGAAGAGGGCCTGCGACGCGAGAGCAAGATCTACACATCAGACCGTCAGGAGTGTGTTAGTTGGCGGTCTGCAAGTACGTTGACACGGAGGAAGCCACAGCGCGCAGGTGCCAGCCTACCGGTGATTTGCCATTCGGCGCGGTTCTGTGACCAGAGACCGACGGGGTACTTGTCCTGGGAGTGGCCGATGCTCTTGTGGATTTCGACGAGGCCGGCTCCCAGATTCTTGCGGCGCTCGGCCACCTCGGCGTACGTCTCCCACTCATACGTCTCCTGCCATGACTGCGTGCTCGCGTTCCAGTGGCGGGTGCCGAGGCAGCGCTTGTTGGGGCGCTTCTTGACGGCGGCCTCGAAGAGATCGTGAACCGACTGGATCTCGGGGTTGAACGTCGTCAGGAGCTTCCCGTCGCCGATCTTGTGATGGCGGTAGATGGCGGTGCGGCCGGGGCGCTCTGTGCCCGGGATGGCGACGCCGTGAAGAGCCCCGGGCGCCGGCGGAGTCGACAGGCTCTTGATGTACGCAGCCATGTCCTTGGTGGCCATCTTGTGCTTGTTGCGCTGGTGGTTGACCGCGTGTCGTGGCGATTTGCTCTGCTGGGTGGAGGACGGGGCCTGCAACGCTTGTGACCGCGAGGATTGGCAGGGAAGACCAGGCGATGCGTAAGCCTGGAGGGTACAAGGAGATTATTGCAAAGATGACGCAGAGCAACAATGCGGGGACAGGAGCTGCGGAACAGGAAGAAGCAGAAAAGAAGAAGAAGAAAAAAGAAGGAGAAGATGAAACCTGGCGACGAGGCCGGGACGAGGTGGAGGAGGTTCAAACGCACGGCATGGGCGAACTTGAAGGGGACGGACGGCCGAGGTTCGCGGGGCCTCGGCAGCCCCAGATTTCGATCAATTGGTTGATGCAGCGAACGGGAAAAAATAGCAGCCCAGCCATTGGCAGCGCGGCGCCCATGAGCGGATGTACCAGGTACCACGCGCCGCGCCCGGCTGTGCACATTGAGGCGGATGGATGCCCTAACGCTGCTAGCGGCCAGCCACTGAAGGGCGTCCCACCCGCGGAGCTACAGCGGGCTTCCAAGCCCGGCGGCGTTGAGCGCTGTGCTCGTGCGGCGGTACATGTACAACTGGTAGTAAGTGCCTGCGGCTGGCTTTCAAGGTTCTCACTCGCGGCCGGTTAACCGCAGCCCGTCAGCATCTGCCCGTCCAAGGGAGATTGATCGATGGAGCGGACGAGAGATGGGCTGAGGTTTGCTGGTATCAAGTGTCAGTTGGAAAATGAAGAGTATAGCTAAAGTGTCGTGGGCTGATAGGACCGCAACACCGTCGACTAAAGGTAGCACGACATTGTTTGCTTCGTCTCTGCAAGCATATATATCGAACTGATCAAGACATTCACAGCTGGTGTTTGATGATTCATAGTGCGGACTTTGCAAGCCAAAGCTAATGCGCTACTCGTAGTACATGTAGCAGTAAACTGGCCAGTACCGAGGTGTTTGGGACATTGAAAGAGATGAACATCAACCAGTGCTCAATCACAGTCCCCCCCTCACTCAGACGCCTCCTCTACTACACTGCACACGAGCACATCATGTCCAAACAGCAAGACAGGCGCACAAGTACACCTTACATCGCACCAAAGCACCCCGACACAAAACTCCGTCGCACAAGACCTGAAAAGTCCGGCATCCCGTCGTGACGTCGGCTGTTTCGGGGAATAACAACCAGTCAGTGGCGATGCTTGTGCTGCGACTCAGGCGAGCCGGCTGCCATTGTCATTCCGTTTTCCGCTGGCCGACGCCGTCCGTGTCTTGTTTGCACCCATTGGAAAGTGCACTCTGAGCACCGAGAGGTTGCTCGTACATACTCACTCGTACACTTATAAGTTCAAAGAATCCGGGCCGCATCTGGGGAGAATCGCTGCTTGGCTTGAGTATCCGCTCAATGCATGGCGGGTGGGCCTCGGCCCAGGGACGCTTTCGTAGTTGCACGGCCAATCACGAGGCTGCTGTTGCGGGTGGGCATCGCGTCTCGGCATGTGACACTGGGCTGAGAGCGGACGAAAGAACTGCTTTTCTGTTAGTGGTCATGGAGCAGAGAGGTGGCCTTTCCTCAGCCATCCGTGGTTGGGAATGAATGAAACTGGACCCCAGCATTGTAGGTATATAGTGGCTTCTCCGCACCTTTTCTTCCCCGCGTTGTCGAGTACATAATAACGAGCCGAGGCCATCGCCAGCGGCCTCTGGATTAAGTAAGCGGTCTTGTTGAGTGAGACGAGGCAAGGACACAAAAAGCCACAACCACACAGCAATGAGCTCGCCTTCTTACGTGAGCTCCTGTGGCTGACATGCTTAAAACCCTCATATTGCGTCTGGACTGATGTGAAAAAAAAGAGGTACCATGGGTGGGCATCAAGCAGCTCTACCATAACTCAGCAAGCATACCTAGGTATACGTACACTCATTTCGACGAGACATCCCAACACTTAGTACCTAAGGTACTAGGTAATCTAAGATAGTCCATGGCTTCAACACCACGATAACTCTGCGATGAAGCCTCAAGATACCAGATTGAGGGAAAGAGTCTCCCCTCTTGGAGGATGGGAGCAGCCTCATACATCTTTTACCTACGCGCAATGCGCTCACTTCACCCTCAACACGCCATCAACCCGCCCTTCTTCCATGTCCCTTGAACCTGTGCAGTAGTATGTAATTCCATATGTCTCAGACATGCAGATGCAGTGTAGACCAATACTACTCCGTACCTTAGACGCCCAGATGGAAAAGAAATTCCACGTCAACTTCTTCCTGGCAGGTCCCGTCCCGTTCTGTGACTCTTTCTTCGTAGTAGTAGTACTGCCTTTCTTCGCACAAGGCCCTCGCCATGTCGCGAATGCTCGTCCTCTGCTTTCGGGCCGTCCAGGGCCTCATGGCTGCTGCCAGCATCGCCCTGGCAGCATATGGTAAGCCTCAGTCTTTTTCAACTTGCACTTGCGGTTCTCAGACCCTCTTGAGCTACGTATTCCTCTCTTGAACTAACAGATGGAATAATCGCAGTTGTCAATTGGCATCTCAGGGGCTCCCATCTCTCGACGCCGCCCTCCATCGTCTTCCTCCTCTTCTCGCCCATCTTCACCATCGCCTCTCTCTTATACATTGAATTGGCGCCGCGTTTCGCCCCGAAGAAAGCCACCCATCCGATGACATCGTTATGTATTGAAATCACCAACTGCATCTTCTACTTTGCCGGATTCATTGCCGTGGCCGTTTGTCTGAGCGATATAGCTTTCTGTGACGGCTCGGTGTGCATGGCAGGTCGTGGTATCGCAGTCCTGGCAGCAGCGCAATTCAGCTTGTGGATGGCATCGGCCATTCTCGCGGCAAAGAGCATGGTTAAGGGCGAGAGGCGGCCCAAGTGGCCGGGTTTGAGGCGAGGCTTCCGGGACTTGGAGCTGTAGATGTGAGCGTGGGGATTCATAGATCGAGATGGGGGCGATGAGATGACGGCAGCGGACTATGGAGTTGGGCTGCGAAGTGCGAGGCTCTTGGGACTCTATGATTTTGGCAAAGAATAGCAACTGATGGCATCTGAGCGTGGTAATTCGCAATTTCCTGACTAGAGGACTGACACATATGGTGATGTGCAAAGGGTCAAGTTGATGGATGCACACTTGTCTCATTGCTCGATGACCCCCAATGTAGCATCGCCAAGGTAGAGACTGTCAGATCTGGTCATCATACATGCGGGCAGATCCAGAGACCGGTCATCGTACATATATCCAATCATGGAGAAAGAAAGATGAATACGCAATGTTGTCAAGCAAGTCAAGATGTGCGTTCCTCACTCAAACGCAAGGGCTCGGGGTGCTAATGCAGACTCTCTCCACACCATCACGGCCGGTTCCCCAGTCGCAACTCCGTTTTTGTTATTAGCGGTTCTCGATTATTTGCCTGTTTGGCTGAAAGAGGCAATCGGGACTATTTCTGTGCAATTTTCGATGGCCGCGGTTCATTGGCTGGATGGGGAGGAGAACGAGGATTCATGTCTGGGCCTGGCTAACTTGGTGTGTGGTTAAAGAGCACCACTGGAGACACCTTTTGCCCATCACCTTCTGTCGTCGATGAAAGGACTTGCTTATGAGAAGGTGTCCCCTTCGGCAGTTGTCAACATTGAGCTTATATATATATATACCTACTTGAACAGCATGCCAGGTAAGACTTGGTGTAGCCACTATGTACATGTAAGCCCGTCCTTGGGCTACTAAGGTAGTTCGTCTGAGATCATCAGATAATACAGAGCTGCGAAACCGGCCAGACAAATTAATCAAGAGACAAAGCACAATGAGGGGTCAGACATCGTGTTACCCTCCGGCCAGGATTCATGTTCCCATCACTCTCTTTTACCCCTCCAAATCCGTTCAGAAAAGAACGCGGCCAAATGACGCGAGAAGCGGGCGATTGCGTGCTCGACGGACTATCAAGGGGGAGCGAACATGACCCCACCCTCGGCGTGGGAGGCTCTTGTTGACCAGAAAGAAGGGCACTCAATCTTCAGCCATTTTGCCTACTTTATGACTGTATTTTATGTTATATTTTAGCAAATTGCTTCCAACTAGGCCGGAGTACCTCTCAACTGTAGCGTCAGCATGTGGCTAGACTAGACCCCTACATACCTTGGGGCAGAACATAGAATGTCACGACTTTGCTAGCCTGAAGCATGATATAAATAAGCGCTCTCTCGTGTCTTGAGCCGAGTTCCTGTCCCTTTTCCCCCCTCGGTTCCATCTTTGTCTCTCCTGTCAGCCTCTTTTCTGAGTTTCTCCTTTTCTTTTTCTATTTCCAATCCCAAAAGGTTGCGAAAATGGCGGACAAGCTCAGCACCAACTTTGAGACTCTTCAGCTTCACGCGGGGTAAGTCTTTTGGCGTCCATTTCAAGAGCGCGGGGCAAATGGCAACTGCTGCTCCGTCTTACAACGGGCTGGAAATGCTGCAGCTTGGCGTCTCTGTTGGAGTCCATGTTAACAATTTTTGGCTTCAACTACGAGAGGCAAAGATGGTCAAGAGGCAAACAAGTTGCTAATCTCTTCGTTTCCCTTCTCCTAGACACTCTCCCGACAAGGCAACCAACGCCCGAGCTGTCCCCATCTATGCCACTACTGTAAGCATAAGCCGACTCTCTCTGACTTTGACATGCCTCAACTACTATCCGGCAGCACAGCTTGGGTCAGTTCCTCGCGAGACAACAGAAATACTAATCAAGTCCCGCCTTACAGAGTTTCGCCTTCAACGACTCCGCTCACGGCGCCAGACTCTTTGGCCTCAAGGAAGAGGGCAACATCTACAGCCGCATCGGCAACGTGAGTAAACCACCATGCCCGAGTTTCCCCCCTACTACTTGCCCAAAGAAAGACAAACCATGAAGCTGACCTGAATCTCCTCCCTTTACAGCCCACCGTCGATGTCTTCGAGAAGCGGATAGCTGCCCTCGAAGGCGGCGTCGCCGCTCTGGCCACCTCGTCCGGCCAGGGCGCCCAGTTCCTCGCCCTGACGGCCCTCGCCGAGGCCGGCGACAACATCGTCTCCACGTCGAACCTCTACGGCGGCACCTACAACCAGTTCAAGGTCACCTTCAAGCGCTTCGGCATCACCACCAAGTTCGTCACCGGCGACAAGCCCGAGGACATTGCCGCCGCCATCGACGACAAGACCAAGGCCGTCTACGTCGAGAGCATCGGCAACCCCCGGTACAACGTCCCCGACCTTGAGGCCATCGCCAAGGTTGCCCACGACAAGGGCGTTCCCCTCGTTGTAAGTTTTTGCTTCTCACTATAATCTAACAAGAGAGTCCAGAATCGAGAAGTCCCAAAACTGACAGAAGGGCGCGTCAAAACAGGTCGACAACACCTTTGGTGCCGGCGGCTACTTCATCCGCCCCATCGACCACGGCGCCGACATCGTCGTCCACTCCGCCACCAAATGGATCGGCGGCCACGGCACCACCATCGGCGGCGTCATCGTCGACTCGGGCAAGTTCGACTGGGGCGCCAACGGCAAGCGCTTCCCCCAGTTCATCGAGCCGGCCGAGGGCTACCACGGGCTCAAGTTCTGGGAGACGTTCGGCGCCGTCTCCTTCATCGTCCGCGCCCGCGTCGAGCTGCTGCGCGACATTGGCGCCACCCTCAACCCCTTTGCCGCCCAGCAGCTCATCCTCGGCGTCGAGACGCTGAGCCTGCGCGCCGAGCGACACGCGCAGAATGCGCTCGCCCTGGCGCGGCACCTGGAGAAGAGCCCCTACGTTTCCTGGGTGTCGTACCCTGGCCTGGAGAGCCACCCTTACCATGAGACGGCCAAGAAGTACCTCAAGAGGGGCTTCGGCGGTGTCTTGAGCTTTGGTGTCAAGGGCGGCGGTTCTGCCGGCAGCAAGGTGGTCGACGGCTTCAAGATCATCACCAACCTTGCCAACGTTGGCGATTCCAAGACCCTGGCCATCCAGTGAGTTTTGACCGAAACTTTTGCCCCTCGGATGGTGAGCAGAGGAGAAAAAAGGCTAACAGAGATACTATAGCCCCTGGACGACCACTCATGAGCAGCTGAGCGAGGAGGAGAGGATCAGCTCTGGTGTCACCGAGGTAAGCAACCATTTGGCGGCATGCGCGTCAACGTTATGAGGGTACATCTTGCTGACTTGGCCTTTGCAGGACCTTATCCGAATCTCCGTCGGTACCGAGCACATTGACGACATCATTGCCGACTTTGAGCAGTCTTTCAAGGCCGCTGGTCTCGCCAACTGAGGATGAGGAAACAGAAGTTTCCCCTTTAGTTGTGTAAGTGGCAAGGCGACGATGGAATGAATAGATCCAGGAGCCTTTTGCGATCAAGGAGTCGGTTGCAGAGCGTACGACAACCGCGCGTCTTCGCTGGCGCTGCGGAAAAAAGGAGGAGAGAGAGAGAGAGAGAGAAGATGATACCTCGGAGACACAGAGAAGCAGAGGAGCTCGCCGAATCACTGCGCTTCTCATGCCCATGCCTCGTGTATATGCATGGGCATGTATATACCTGTATTTAGCGGATCAAGTTCTGCATCAGGCGCCTTGCCAATTGACAGAGCGTCAACCCCCATCAAACGAAGAATAAAGCTTCAGTCTAAACGCTGTCGCTTGCCCCCAGTAGCTCCCTACGCATAATACCGATAAAGTGGTTCGTCTTGTGGCAACCGCATCATCGTCATCTTGCTTCAAGTTTAGCACCCCCAGCCATGTAAGCCCTTGAACCACCTGCCTGCCACAACAAGCCACAGGCTATCGACGTTCTACATACACATATAAATGGCGCATATAAGCCAACTACTACTACTACGACTTACCCAGAGTCACAAGCCAGCAGAGGTCTGTTTCCTTCGGATAATTTTCGATTGGTCCGGCATTGGCCGATCTCTGTCGGTTGTGTAAATTGCCTCAGAGCTTGTTTTACCTGAGAGAGGTAGGTAGGTAAGCATGAGGCCTCCGCTCCAAGGCCAAAACCGGATACCGATGTTGCATCTCCAGACTGTCGAGGGTATATCTAGGTATTCGTATAGGACGAATGCAAATGACAGTTGTGATAATCCTACACATTCTACCCGATTCCACATTTGCTGGAGGATTTTTTTTTTTTTTTTTCCATCTTGATATCGCTGGAATGGATTATTCATTTGCGAGTGACGATGCTTCGGGCACGGCACTGCATCACGTTGACGACGCGGAGGCTGCTGAAGGCGAAGAGGCGGACGACGACGACCTCTTTTCTCAGGAGGATGAGCTTTTGCAGCCTCCGGATGTGTTTACGACCATCCATCGGTGAGTAAACGCCTCGATTCTTCCATCTCCTTTTCCCCCAATTCTTGGCTTCGACTGTCTTCTTATCAGTCTACAGTCCTTTTGTAAGTTGATGTGCTAATCAGTCAAGTATACGAACTTTGAAGCGTGCGAGCGCTCGTGATTGCCAGTATCGGTAAGTAGTCTCAAACGTTCTTATATAAGAGCTCCAACAAACTTACGAATGCGACAGAGGATCCATATACGCTCGAACAGCTGACGAGCCCGCGGATCAACACGCTCGTCGTCCGCCCCTTGGTAGACAGGCTATACAACCCCGACGACATGTCCATAGGTTTGCTCGCCTGAACCCCCTAAACCCCCCCTCTACTCGTGCCTAGATCATTGCAAACTTAATGTATGCCTCTCTGTCGACCATTGTTCAATGTCAAACGTCTTGTGGTTTTTGTGTCTTCGTAACGAGCTCCCACAGGCGCTGTTCTACAAGAAACTCGGAATATATGGGCTCACATGAACGAGGTCTAGTATACTGCCTCCTCGCAAACCGCCTCCAGTTCCTCAAGGAGCAGACCGCCGCCAAACACCAAAGCGTGAGTCGCGCCCGGGCCGTCCTCTGCGAAATCGTCGCCACAAAGGTCCTGCGCAAGCTCCACGAGGACAACCACCCCGACAAGGCGGGCGCCGCCGGCCTGCTGCGGCTGGCCAACGCCCTGGTGCAGGGGTTCGACCCTTTCTCTGGAGCGCCCCAAGACGTCGCCCTGGCCGGCAGGTACGCGCATTGGCCGGTGCAGCGGCGCGGCGGCAACGAGAGGAAGCTCACGGCGCTGGAGCTGGCCATTGTCTCGGAGAGCAAGACCCTGATGAGCTCGCCGGCGTGTCTGCGCGTCGTGAGCGCCGTGTACGAGGGGCAGGTCGTGTACACGCCGATATCCTTCGTGGACATCCTGCCCGATCATTACAAACACCATCCGGTGTCGCTGTACGACCCGCGCAAGGCGCCGTTGCTGAGCCACTACCGCCTGATTGTGCCAAAGTGGAGGAACTTGCTCGAATCGATGCAGTTCATGGTGCTTCTGGGGCTGTACCTGTTGACCATGGCAAATCGAAGCAACTCGACATCTCTGAAGCTGTATGAAAGCCTGTTTGCCGTATACACGATGGGCTGGATTCTGGACGAGTTTGCCGCCATCATCGAACATGGCTGGGCGGTCCACTCGCAAAAGACGTGGTCGTTCTTGGACGTGACGTTTACCATCATCTTCTGCGCCTATCTCTTTGCGCGGCTGTACGAGGTCTGGATCCCAGTCGCTCAAGGTACCGGCGGCACAGGCTCTCTGGCGCTACATATACTATGTGTCGCAGCGCCGGTCCTGCTCACACGAGTCGCGTTTAGTCTCATGCCGGACAACATCGTCTTCATCTCGCTGCACGCCATGATGAAGGACTTTCTCGTGTTGACGTTCCTCACCCTCTGGTGCGTGGGAGGATTCTTCTTAGCCTTGCAGTGGCTCCTCATGGCAGGGCAAGGACCAGAGCCCGAGTGGTACACGGTCGCGAAATGGCTCCTTTGGATCTGGTTTGGGCTGGACGGCACGGGCATCCAGGAGAGCGTGCAGTTCCACATCGTCCTTGGCCCGGCCCTCATCGTGGCGTTTGCATTCCTGGGCAACACGCTGTTCCTGACGATCCTGGTCGCCGTGCTGACCAACACCTTCTCGCGCATCGTCGCCGCCGAAGCCGCCGAGATCCAGTTCCGCCGAGCGGTGCTCACGTTCGAGTGCGTGAGGAGCGACGCCATCTTTGCCTATCCGCCCCCCTCGAACCTCCTAGCCCTGCTGTTCATGCTGCCCCTGAAGCTCCTCGTCTCAGCGCGCAGGTTCCACACCGTCCACGTCGCCGTCGTCCGGGTGCTCAACTTCCCCGCGCTCTTGCTCATCAGCTTGTACGAGCGCAACTTGTTCAGGGCCGGCGAGTCGAGGCGCGGCGTCAAGTCGAACCAGTTGCTCAGGTGGCGCTTCACCGGCTTCAACCCGCATGGCGACATCGAAGCCGTATTTGAAGCAGAACCGCCGCCGGGTGCAATGGACGAGGCTGGCGAGCTGGATGGACTGAGTGAGCTCGGGTTCACGGACGATGGCATCTCCAGGTCCTCGAGGGAGATGCCGAGGCCTGTGGTCTTTAGGCTGAGCAATTCGAGGAGCAGGGACGAGACGCTGGCGATGCTGGGCAGAGGGAGCCCTGGAGGAGAGGGGTTTGGAGCATCTCAGGGGACTGGATATTCATGACGCATAATTGTATAGAATAAATCCCAGTGAAGAGACAAAGAATAAAGGTTGGGCAGAGAACCACCGATGTAGCAGTTGGACATTACGCTTCTCGAGAGCTTCTCAAGAGCTCACTGTGGCACCCAGCTCCCAGCTCCCAGCAAAAAGCAGCGCTAAGCCACATACATCATATGCACCAGCCACAACCACCGACATCACCTCCATAGCTACACCCATTTCCCATCCCATCCAAACAACACCCCCAGCAAATCGTCATTCCCAAACCAAAAACCACCGCTCAAAACGCCTCTCGCCATGGAGCTGCGACTCCTCCTCCTAACAGCGGCCCTCGCCGCCCTCACCTCCGCCCTCACCCTCAGCGTCTCCCTGCCCCCGAAGCCCAACCCGTTCCTCCTCCCCTCCAGCACCCACGCCACGCTGTCCAGCCTGCACAAGCGCCTCAGCGCGCCCCTCTCCGCCGTCAACACCTTCGACTTCCACAACCTCTCGGCCGAAGCCGACTCGTACCTGCTCGACGTGCACTGCCCCACGGACACCTTCCTCCCGCTGCGCGTCGACGTCGGCCCGGACGGCGAGGTCAAGGCGTGGGAGACGTATCGCGGCAACGAGTGGGGGAACAAGGGCGAGGAGGTGCCCGTGAGGAGCGAGGGCGCGACGAGGAGCCTTGCCGTCAAGGCTGCGGGGCCAAAGATTTTCTTCATGGAGAGGGCCAAGTGTGAGTTTTTCTTTTCCCTGACGGGCTTTCCTATACTTTTGTGAGGGAATGAGAGAGCGCATCGGACTAACTCTGGTTGTGTGTGTGATTAGTTTCGGTGTTGAGCATCCTCAAGAATCCCATGATCCTGATGGGTCTGGTTACGATGGGCATCGTCTTTGGCATGCCCTACTTGATGGAAAACAGTAAGTTCTCTTCTTCTACCCCCCCTCTCTGTCCTCTTACGCTCTGCGAGTATAAAGCTCTGTGTATGTTGTCTCGACAGGAAGGACTGACATCGTGGGCAGTGGACCCCGAGCTGCGCGCCGAGTTCGAAGAGCGACAAAAAGAGAGCCCCATGAACGCCATCATGGCAAACGCCCAGGGCGGCCAGAACCCCCTCGGCAACTTTGACATGGCGGCGTACCTGGCTGGCTCGGGCAAGAAGGAGGGTGTGAAGAGGTGAGATGTGCGTCGGTTCGGTTTGGGAGGAGAATGTAATTACGAGAAAATGGATATAAGGATGCAGAAGATTGCAGCTGCTGCTTTTACTTCTTTCTAATGCTATTCTGGTTTGGGGGAATGCAAAGTGAGACGGATCGTTATGGATCTTTCATGTTATGTATCAGCAGCTTTGTGTGATTGGCATTTACTCCGCAACGCCGTCCTCCTAATCCTATACAAAGAACGACACAAAGTCAAGTCTTGTCTTTGAAAGCGTAATCAGAACCAGTCCAGCAACCAAAGCAAGATTACCACCCCGCGGAACTCACCCACTCTAACCACTCATCATCGCAATGTATAACAGACAAACACGCAGCTGGTTCGCGTAGTAACACTGCTTAGAAGTCGCCGCCGTCAAAATCTCCACCACCATCGTCATAGCCGTCCTCTGTTTCGATATGCGTCAGTACGATTCAAGAATCCATCAGATGAGTGGCGCGGGGGAAGGGGGGGGAGTTTAACGTACGGTAGCCATCCTGGTATCCTTCCTCTTCAAAGTGATCAATGGCATCATCCACCAACAGACCACCAACAACACCAGCGCCGAGACCGAGCGCAGCTCCTCCCGCAAGACCAAGTCCCGCCTTTCCGAAACCGCTGCTCTTCTTCGGGGGGGCCTGCTGCTGATAGTAGCCAGGCTGGGCGTATCCCTGCGCCGGAGCTCCGTAGCCCGGACCAGGGCTCGGGCTGCCGTATCCGGGCGCATACCCGCCACCGTAGGCACCAGGCGCTCCTCCGTATCCAGGGCCCGGGCTCGGGCTGCCGTATCCCGGGGCGCCGTAGCCCTGCTGCGGAGGCGGTGCGTAGCCCGAGTAGCCGCCCGCGCCAGGGGCACCGGGGAAGCCTCCGGGCGGGGCGCTGTGGGAGCCGCCCGCGAGCTTGCCGGCCAGCTTGCCAAGGAGACCCCCGCCCCTCTGCTGCTGCTGCTGCTGCTGCTGCGGCTGGGGCGTGCCGTACGGGCTGCTCTGCGGGGGAGGATACGGGCTGGTGCTCTGCTGGCGGTACGAGTCGGCAGCGCCTCCGGTGTATCCGTATCCGGGAGGCTGTTGAGAGCCGGCGGCGCCACGGGCCCGGGCGTCCTCTTCAGCCTGCATCTGGGCGGCCAGGCGGGCGTCCTCCTCCTCCTGGGCCTGCCGTGACGACGAACCGGCGAAGTCGCTGCTGTGGTGGTCGCCGTAGGGGTTATTCTTGGTGTCGGAGACTTGGGGGGCGTTGTGGCCGTCGTAGCCTGGCGGGGGTTCGGAGGGCGGCGCTTCGCCGTCGGGGTAGACGGGGCTGGTGGGCTTGTCCCATTGGGACTTCTTGGTGTAAATGTTTACGTAGAACCTGTTGAATGAACTCGTGGGTGAGTCGTCTGTCCAGAGGACGTGGAGATACTGATGGCGGGGGGATCAAGCTTGACGTACCATTCTTTGTATTGCTCGTTCCACCGGGCGACCCAGCCGGCAGGGACTTCGGGCGCTTTGGGCGGCGGAGGCCCTGAGGGAGGGGCGTAGTCGGCCATGAGACGGGATGGACTGTAGGGAAATCGAGGTGTTTGATGATGTGGTAGACGAAAGAAAGAGAGGGAGAGGGCAGAGGAGGGGAGAGTCGGCGTTGGTTGTTAAGAGGAGGAGGGGTGGTTTATTAGCGTATGACGACCCCTTGCTCAGAACAGCCCGGATGGCGAAATAGTACTTGAGACGATGGCTTGCTGTTATAAGTAAGGTACGTGTCAAGAGTCAGGTACCGAACCAACCAGAGCCAGGCGATGGCTACTATCGAAATGCGACAAACAATAATCCAGCGCGCACACAGCTTTCGACTTATATATCCTCGAACATGTGCGAAAGCTTGCCAAGACTTGCACCTCCAGTCACTCCCCCCAGGGTCCCACGAAGAATGATGCAAATCCCCTAACCGGACCCGCTGTAGCAGTGGCCAGATGCTCATGGAAGCCCGGAAATGGGAAATGCGAGGCGCAGCCCGGCCACGTTACATACATGCACGTATTACATGGCAGACTGGCAAGCATGGATTCTGGGTGCCGGCGATCCGATTTGAACGTACCAAAGGAGGGGAGGCAGTGATGCTGGGATTACAATGGAATACTCGAAGCAAACAACTCCCCCCCCATGGGAGGCCGCGAGCCTCGGCCCTTAGCTAGATGCTTCCATAACCTCTTTCCTGAACCAGACTCAGCCACATGAGGCCCTGCACTGCCACACGAATCAAGTCATCCGCCTTCGCCACGTTTGTGGCTCGAGCGGGATTGCAATTCACCAACATTCCCCCAACTCCTCCAGGGCTACCGAGTACGTCAACAAGAAGCCATCTAACTCAAATCATTTGAACTGGCATCGTCGAGCCCTCTCTTCAGCTCGAAGTCATCCTTAGGTAATGCGTCACGAACAAGTATTAGCCGCTTGTCATTAGGAATCAGTTAAGCAGCTTTACACGTTCAAGCATAATAACAAGTATGTCAGCAAAGCCAACCCCAATAACCCCCACCCTGACATAAAGGCATTTGCTTCAAAACTCCATGTCCTGGCGGTATACTTTGGAATCTTAAGTTGCACACTGCAGGTATTCGACCTTGAAGCTTCCATCTACCATTTCTACCTTGCCTACCTATGATACAGAAGAGACAGAATCAGTTCTTGTAAGCTCAAGGTTATAACGCGTTAGAGATCATGTCTTATTACCATAGCTTCCAATCTGGCAGCTCTTTTCAAAACTTAAACGTTTTCTGAAACGCTGACAGCCATTAGACACAATGAAATGATGCCAAAGCTAGAAGCAGTCTTATTCCACAAGATAGACCACCAGTCATGAGATCACAAAGTATCCCAGTCACTATTACCCATGAAACGTGCACCTACATACTTATATTCAGTATGTACAAACATGGGGAACTCTTCGCACAATCCCAGAAACAACCGAAAGTCCGGGGCCCCTCACGATCCACGAACCCAAAACTAACTTCTCATCCCTCAACTTGAATCCCAACCTCTCAATTTATATGATCAATAATATCACGTACTAACTTGCAGAACCCCACAGTAGCACCATCTCAGAGCCGAGGCAACCACTTACTTCTTTCCCAGTCCCCGAGGAAGAGAATCCCCCGGGTCATTAGAACGTCAACTTCGGTGCTCCCCCGGCGTCCGACCCCATCTCCGTCGACCAAACGGGCACGACGATGCCCTGTGGATCGCAAGGGGAAAATTACCTACATGGGTAATATGCGGGCTTGCCTCAACTTCACCCGCTAGGAAGTGAATCAGTGTAGCTGAACACATGTCAACTAGAGGCCCTTTATAGGCAAAAGGGCATGTGAGAGAGGTCGAACAGGGAACGTCGCTTTGCAAGAATTACCACCAGGTATTCCATTCATCTTCACTCAGCAGAGCTTTCTCTAGAGTAGATCTATAATAAGAATAGCGGTGCATACAATAGCAACACACGCGTGTATATCTTGAATAAAGCTTTCCATGGACACGGAGGTGATAAACCCCCTCATTCAGGGAAGTGAATTAGAAAGGTAACAAAACGGTCAGAGACACTCGAGAAACGCAGGCTCGAGCTCCACCGTTGCCGATTATTCCCACCGCCGTCATTTCATCGTTCGCGCGTAAATAAGAACCCAATTTTTGAACCGTTCATGCCAAATCATGAGCCCTGACCCAAACGCCGTCTAATGCTTAGCCGTGACCTTGTCGCCGGTCAATTTCTCCACGTAAGTTTTAGCCCTGTAGAACATGCATCGTTAGCAAGCTGTACCGTACTGGTATGTCTCCGGCCTGTTAGTGATCAGAGCGGGGGAGGGAACTCACATATCACCAACAGCAACCATGCAAATCGTCTGCCAAACGCCGAGACCAATTCGAGGAGTGACACCTCGGTAAAGACCCTTGATACCATTGTTCGAGTAAATGTAGCGGAAAGTGTTGCCGACCGTCATCTTCTTGGGGCGGTTGGGGTCGTCCTTCTTGCTCTGCATCTCGACGCGGATGACCTCAATGGGCTGGTTCCAGGCACTGAGGCCACCGCCGAGAGCGCTAGCAAGGACCTTTTCTCCGGCGGACAGCTTGTCGCTCTTGTCCTTGCCCGTGGCCGAGCGGATCCAGCCCTCGGCCAGGCGGCTGAGGCCAAAGCGGGAGCCCCAGTTGGTCATCTGTCGGATGGCGACAGCGTTGACGCCCTTGTTGATGCCGCGGATGCCCTCCTTGCGGTAAATGTCCATGAAGGTCTGGAAGGTGGACGGGGGCTTGACACCGGCGGCGGCCAGCTTGTGCTGGGTGATCTCGACCGTCTTCATGCAGGTACAGAAGCCCATGGTGGCATAGGCCTGGGCGACACCGCCGGTGATGCCGCCAAGGATGCCACCGCCAAACTCAGAAGCACCCATGTAGCGAGCGTAGTACTCGGCTTCGGAGGCGACGAAGAGCAGCACCGCGCCCTTGGTGGAAGCCTCGATCCAGGCCCAGGGAATGAGACCTTGGTAGACTGTTTCGAGCAAAGAAAATGATTAGCCGAGTTCAGCGCGCGATTCCCAGAGAAACTGTCGGGTTGACTTACAGCCGAGAACGCCTCCTCGACCCCAGATGCGGGCCAAGGCCGTGGAGAAGCCGTCGCCACGGTTGGCAGCCATGGTGGTCTTGACGACCTCGAGGGGCTGGCCCAGAGTGGTGACCTCGAACATGTTGAGTCCGGCGCCGAGCAGCAAGTTGGAGAACTTGATGGGCTTCTTCTCCAGCTTGTTTCCCGCGACGGGGGCTTCGATAGCAGCGGCGGCGACCATGGCTTCTGGATGTTGTGCTGTAGGGGGCCCTGACCAAGGGAATAGGGTGCTTCTTCGCAAGGCGTGTGGGAGGCAGAGGAGAAGATGGAGTTGGAGAGGTTGTTGGAGAGAGGAGAGAGAAGGAGGGAGGAAAAGGGGGGGTTCAGTTGAGGCGTTGGCCAGAGCAACCCGTACTTGTACTACTGCGTCCTTGCTGCTTAGAGGAACGACGGATTGCGCGCGATAAGGCTTAGCTCGCTGACTAAGATGCAGCTTCAAGGTTGTTGAACGGGATCGGAGGGGGATGCGCGCCAACTGGAGCAGCTGGAGCAAGGCAGAGCGAGGCAGATGGGCGGTCCTCGGAACATCAACAACTAGGGAGGTCAGCACGGGTCCCCAAGTTGGAACCGGGCCGAGGACTGGGTTGGGCTGCGAGGCTGCCTGCCATCCGTGATTGTCCGACAATTTTACACGTGCAAGTCGGCATGAGTTAGAGACACCCGAGAGAGCGTGTCGGCTGAGGTATTTCGCTGAATCTACAGATCGATCTGTACTGTCTGGGGAGAGCTGGGGATGGACACCCAGACTGAATGGCATCTCTGGCCAACAAGAGGTGAGACTGGCGATAGTACGAGTACGCCGTAGCCACCACATCATCCTTTTCCCTTGCGAATCTGCCTCATCCCATCCCACCGTTCAGCCTCCCACCGCTCTACACTACACGTTTCCGTTGCTCTCAGCCAGCCCATGCAGCATTCACATGTGCTTACCTGGATGTCCAAATCCGGGATTCGTACTAGTATTACCTAGGTAGTACTGTAACATCAGACACTTTTCGGACACGAAGATTCCGTACTTGTAATCACCAGACATCAATGATACTGCCCACAACGCGAAGCATCTCAAATCCTTATCAAAAATAACTAGCATATTGGTTCCTCATCCCTTGAAAGAAGACATCGACATTCTTCCTCTCCCCAAGAGAGTCTGCCTCTGCTGAGACAAACCCACCACTTCCTCCCCCGTCCCATCGCCAACTTGGTGTGGAGCCTGGGACCCGCGTGGCGTCCAAGTCCGCTTGCACTGATTCGGATTCGGTTCACCACAAAAAATCTCAACATGTTTGCGATTGTTGAGTTGGATTCGCGTTTTCCCTTTTTGTTTGGAGTGTGTCTCCCAGAAGCTGGGGCTGCTTGCAAAGACTCTCAAACTTGTCCAGGGAAGACTGTCCAATCAATCGAGAGAGCAGCATGTCAACCGTTGAAATGCCACCTACCTAGTAGTAGTAGATAAGGTATGTACTTGTATTAACGGAAAAGGCAGGGCGTCTCCACCATCATCACAGCTTCAAGATGAGTACCTGTAGTAGCACTCCGTATGTACATCGAATACGAATAAGAGCCCGTCTCGGTGCACAGCGATCCGCCCAATTCGCGATGCCCAGCCCGAATCAGAATGCGTCGAGGTTCCGCACCTCATTTCTCGTTTCTCGACGTTACGACAGCGAGGACCTCTAAATACCATATCTTACTCGTACCTGCTACGCATCAAGGTTCCAGTCGGCCCAACAGCAGTGCCCTGATCTAAACCTCATGTAACCCTGTAGTTGTAGTAGGTACTCAATGCCGTTGGCCGTCCTCTTCCGCTTCCCGCGCGAACCCCCCCTTACATTATTCCATATTAGCTCCTCCAGAAGCGATCCTCGCAGACGCCTCGCCTGCGCCGTCGAAGCCAAAGTCTACATCGGATCAGGGATGCTCAAGTGCCGGTACTTGATGGAGGTGTACATGATGATCTCTAGTATACCTTGGTAGATCACCACAACATCCAATGCCTTGCCCGGTCACACGCAGGTACTTCGTGATAGAGAATCGTATCAACCAATGTAAAACAAGCCCAACACGCCTGCGTTAAAAGTCATACTCGTACACCCACCCAAAGCCCGTGAGGAGTCAATCTTGTCTCATTACATCAATTGGAAACTACATGTAACAGTTCCGCATATTGTACAATTAAGCGCCGTTCTGGCCGCCGCTGTGTCATCCACAGACTGTCTATATCCTGTTCGATGATCATTCCCGCCCAATGGGCTTCAACTTTTGTCCCATACCGCGATCCCTCCGAGAAAGAAGAAACCACTCCCTCTATTGCACCATTTTTTTTTTTTTGCTTTTGCTCCACCCGTCCTCAACGTCACCCCTTACAGCTTCTTGACGAGCTCGGCCCACTTGTCGGTAGAGAAGGACTTGGGGCGCTCGATGGGGGCACCGACGGCGCGGTCAATGATGAGCTGGGGAAGGACACCAATGGCGCGGGAGACACCGAAGAGGACGGTGTAGTAGTTGGCCTCGGTCAAGCCGTAGTACTGGAGCAGCACGCCGGAGTGGGCATCGACGTTGGGGTAAGGGTTCTTGGTCTTGCCGTGCTCAGTCAGGACCTTGGGGGCAATCTTGTAGACCTGGCTGACCAGCTGGAACATGGGGTCGTTGGGCATCTTCTCTGTAGGGGAGTTAGCGAGAGAACAATCGTTAGCATCAAACCAATTGCAACCACGTACCAAGGGCGAAGGTTCGCTGAGCAGTGTAGCGGGGGTCGGTCTTGCGGAGGACGGCGTGGCCGTAACCGGGAACGACACGGCCGGCGTTGAGGGTGGACCACAGGTAGTCGGTGATGGCCTTGTCGCTGAGGTCGTCACCAATGGTCTTCTTCATCTCGGTCAACCAGTTGAGCACCTCCTGGTTGGCGAGGCCGTGCAGGGGACCGGCGAGACCGTTGAGACCAGCGGCCAGGGACAGGAAGGGAGAGCTGAGGGCGCTGCCGACCAGGTGGGTGGTGTGAGCGCTGACGTTGCCACCCTCGTGGTCGGTGTGGATGGTCAGGTACAGACGCAGCAGCTCGACAAAGTCGGCGTTGTCGCCGAAGCCGAGCTGGTTGGCGAAGTTGAAGGAGTAGTCCTTGTCCTTCTGGATGGGGGCGACCTTTCCACCCTTGAAGACGTTCTGGTAGATGCGCGAGGCAATGTTGGGCAGCTTGGCGATGAGGTCCATGGAGTCCTCAAAGGTGTAGTGCCAGTACTCCTTCTTGTTGATGCCCTTGGCGTAGGCCTTGGCGAAGGAAGAGGTGTGCTCGAGGGCAGTGACGGCCAGGGAGAACTGGGCCATGGGGTGCAGGTCGGTAGGGCAGTGGTCGATGAGCTCCTCGACGAACTTGGGGATGTCGGAGCGGGCGGCCCACTCGGCGGACAGATCGCGGACCTGCTGCTCGGTAGGGACCTCGCCGGTCAGGAGGAGCCAGAAGAGACCCTCGGGGAGAGGCTCCTTGCCGCCGGGAGCCTTGGGGAGGATCTCCTGGCATTCGGGGATGGTCTTGCCGCGGAATCGGATACCCTCCTCGGCGTCGAGGACGGAACCCTCCCAGACGAGGCACTTGATGCCACGAGCACCGCCATAGACCTGGTCGAGGGTGACCTTGTCAACGACCTTGGAGCCGTGCTCCCTGCGAAGAGAAGGAGAGGTGTCAGTCACCGAGAGAATAAGCAACCACCGGGGAGAGGGACGCTGCTGAGGTATAGGGGTGTCACTAACTTTCGGAGGGTCTTGATCTGGTCAATCTTCTCGGGGAGAAGCTCGGCGAAGCGCTCCTTGAGAGACTATGACATGGCGAGACACGCGACAGTCAGCTTTTGATTCCACCTGGATTTTCTTTCCATGCATCATCTTGAGCTTTGGCCACTTGGGCCTGCAGCTTCGATGAGCAGAAAAAGCAACGACGGCGACGCTGCTCACCTGGGACTTGGCCGAGTAGCAGCGGGTGGCGTTGAAAGCCGTGGCCCGGCCGTTGAAGGCGGGGGCGCGCAATGAGGCCCTCAGGGCAGCGTTGCTGAGGCGGGTGACGGAGGCCATGGTGAAGATGCTGTTGGGTATAGGGAGACTAGAGGCAGAAGGCAGAAAAGAGGATACGGCGGATTCGGGGGGGAGGCAGAGGTTATAAAAAGCGCAATGCTTCGTCGCGGTGCTGTCGGGCGGCAGAAAAAAAAATTAGGCCGGCCGTTCCTAGCAGACCTCGGACGCTGGCCCCGTTCGCTGCGTTGACCTTGGCACGGAACTGAGGTGGACAAGCACTGGCACTCGCTGCAGTGGGCGAGTTACATCACCAGCCAGCGTGCATGTGTAGGGCACCCAGAGGTACCTCGCGGGTGCGGCCCAAGGTGCGGTGCGCGGCTGTAGCCTCTTGGTCGCGGGACTTTGACAGTTCTCACGCAGGAGGGCTTTTCCCCCACCAGGGCGACACTAAAAGGCCCCCCAACCATCTCCATCTCCCCGACAAGAGGCCAGATGGCCCGAGATTGCTTTCGTCAGGAGCCTCGGGATACTCGCCCTCAGATTGCCTAATCGAGCCTGTCCTTGCACGGCAGCCGGAAACTCGCAAATGCAGAGTTACCGGTGCGTTCAAGCTACCTAAGGTATATAACAGAGACAGAGATCTAGTTCTTTGTCTCAAGATACATTCACCATCAACATTGGACTCGATCAAGCGGTCAGCCGTCGTCTGCAAGCCATTGGCTCTGGAGGCTGAGGTGACGAGATGGTGACGACCAAAACCACCTTTGTCGCGTGCAGCTGAGGCGCGTCGAGGTACTGTGAGGTTGAGCTGGCCATGCCAGTACTTTGTACTGGATAAGCGAGAACCCCTCATGCTTTATTCCCAGAGCTGGAGAAGTCTGCTAAGCTCGCCTTCTGAGGGGAAATACCCTGTCATCACGAGATATCTAATTGCAAACGAGGAGCCGTCGACCGTGTAAGTTGAGATGCTGCCCTCCATTCTCCCGGAAAGACGTCGACGTCATGTGATGTGATGTGGAAAGCCGCTGGCCCTGCCGACGAAAATCCTTTTCTCCGTAGCAAGAGGGCTCGGAGCTACGACCACCTTTGCCGGTAGCTTCTCTCCAAACCGCGCTCATGACCTGCCGCAAGTGCGTCATCCCAGGGCTCTACCGTAGCTGAGGGTTGAATCAAGCACGTTGCGGATAAACCTCGCTTCGAGTCTTGCGTCTGTAGGTATGGAGAGCACGAAGAGGACAGAGAAAATTTTGCTCCAGCAAACTGGAACATTTCCGGGTCGGTACGTACCGAGGAACGTACCTTACCACTACACTGCACCTCTGCGGCACTGACGGGGCCTGCCCTGAGCAAAGAGCACCTTGGGCCGAGAGCGGTACTCAGCGGGCTAACAAGCGTTACCTCTTGCATCCCTCTAAATACGTGCCTATCAAGGTTTTTTTCCGTAGTGCGTCTAGACCCCTTACGTAAGGCACCGCTCGTATCAGGCCCAAACGCGGCAGCCACCCGCCGAGTTTCAGCAGCAGCCACTTCCCTGCTATAACTCGCGCGACCCGCCCCTCTTCCCTCCCGTCAATTTCTCCTCCTTGCAACACCTCCAATCGCCACCCAACAGGTTCGCCAGCCTTCCCGCTCCAGGGCCTCCTTCCATCATCACCATCTCCTGCTTCGTTTCTCCGTATCCCGCCATCAGACCAACTCGACCGAGAAGAGAAAGCAGAAAACAGATAATATCTCTAGAGCAGGCTTGTGGGCAGTCGCCGCCAGCCCCTGTGATACTATACCCTCGCGTGTGCGCGCTCCATTGCCGCAGTAGAAGAACCCTTTCGTTTCTCGTCACGCGCTTCATCAAGTCACAACGTACATCGTACTATTGAGATTTCGTTGACTTCGTACCTACACCCGACAGAACATCTCTTTGCCCGTACAGTGTCGCGTTGTTCAAATTTTTTTTTCTTTCCGTAACAAGAGACTTGATCGATAGTACTTCGGAGGAGAGAGAGGCAGCCTACTAGAGACATCAGCCGCACGACTCTGTCCATTGACTACGCCAAGTGATTCACCGGACCAGCCAAGGAAAGGGACATCAAGACGGCTTGATTTTGCTTTCTTTTGTCTTCATCGCAAACAAAAGTTCATCGTACACTAGCACCGGCTAAATCTCGCTGAGACGTCCACCGCGGAGGATCCTCTTGGAAGACGCAAAAGAAAGAGTCGCTTCCAGCCCAGATCCCAACCATGGCGTCTGCAGTCGCAGACTTGGAAGCTGGCCTCCAGGCCATGCTCAACTTGAAGCCTCCAGGTGTATCCGGATCTCGTATCACTAGCCTCACTGCGCTCTGCGTGGCCAACATCCAGGTAAGGCCTTTCCATCTGCACTGATCATCTCCAGCGTCGCCTTTCTGGTTGCTGACATGCCTCCCTTGCAGTCCGAATCCGTCCTCATCCAGAAACTCTTCACACACTTCAAGAAAGTCCCAGGAACGCACAAGTTGGGGGTCCTCTACGTCGTAGACTCTGTAACCCGCAAGTGGCTTGAACAAGCAAAGGCTCAGGGTCAGCCCATAAACAGCTCTGCCCAGGACGGCACATATGCCGCTGCCATTCGCCGAGTAACGGAATTGATGCCTGTGTTGATGACTGACATTACTCAGTCCGCCCCCGAGGATCAAAAGGTACGTGTAATTCGAGTTAATCTGTCGTGGTCGGGTGAACAAACAAGACAAGACGCTCGCATACAAACAGCGCTCCCGCTCGTAGGCGTCTCAACGTGCGCTTCGTCTTCTTGATGCCTGGCAGATCCGGTGAATCCAAAAGCAAGACCCCTGCACTTTCGTGTTCGGAACCCGCATCTGAGGAGCGCAAAGTCAGCGTTTGCTTGTTGGTGGTCATCGGCCGCCTTTTAAAGAGAACCAACCTCTCCACACTGAAACCGTATCTGAAGGGACCAGTAACTCACATATTGTTTCTCGCCGTGTAGGAAAAGATCAAGAAACTCATTGATATCTGGGAAAAGGGCCAGACCTTTCCCGCCTCCATGATAGAATCGTTCAAGGAGAAGGTCAATGCTCCGTCGCCACCAAGTACGTCTCTACTCATGGCCCAAGTCACAGCCCTCTTCAAAGAGGCGTGATGCTCGCAGCCAGCCTATAGCAGTTGAGGACCTTTTATTCTAACGTGCATGCAGAATCAACAACACCCCCTGGTAGCCCGCCTCCTGGGTTGGCATCGTCATTCTTGAACCAGACGCAGAGCAAACCCGCTGTACCCAATGGCTCGTCCATCTTGGAAGCGCTGGCAAACATTGCTCGACAAAACACCTCGGCTGCACCAAGCAACCCGTCTCTGCCGGCTCCCGCAGCGTCGTATAGCATGCCTCCTGCTGCCTCCAGCACCCCAGTGCAGGCCCTTGCTTCGTCAATGCCACAGCCACATCAGCCGTATCTCCCGGCTGCGCAACCCGTAAACGTGTCATCTCTGCCCTCCTCGTTGACTCAGATGCTTGGTCAGAATGCTCTTCCTGGGATGCCAGCCAGTGCGAGTAACCCGTCCAACCCATATGCGGCAGCACCTGCAGCGCCTCCCGCTGCCGGGGCTGGCGGAGCCGGTCTAGATCCGAACGTACAGCAGCAGATCATGCTGATCAAGGCCCTCGCCGATCAGGGCGTTCCCTTTGATAAGATTCCTGCTCTCATCCAGAGCATGACTGCTGCCGCCGCTGCGACTGGCAGCTTTCCCGCGGCGCAGCCTCCCGCCCCTATTCCCGCCGCCCAAGGCACCTTTCCACCGGTTCAGCAGCCATGGGCCGCGGCTGCCCCGGGTCCTGCACCGGACCAGGGCTATCAGGACAATGTAAGATCTCCTAGATATCGCAACAACCGCTCCCGTTCGAGGTCACCTGAGCGGGGCTGGAACGCTCGCGGCTCCCCGCGCGGCGGACGTGAGTATGGTCGTAACTCGCCCCCCAGAGGACGTATGGATGATCGAGACCGCAACGGACGAGCAGGCAATGAATACCGCCAGCGTAGCCCTCGCGGACGCCACGGACGAAGCCACTCGCCCTCCATTGAACTGCAGCAGGAGAAGTGGGTTGAATTCGACCCGAACCTCCCAGCTGGCCACATCAAAGTCCTCAGCCGCACCCTGTTTGTAGGAGGCGTCACGTAAGTAACCAATCTCGCCCCGTCACTTTTCCTTGGCTGTATCACACACGACGGATCTTGTACTAACAGAAGCCATTAGATGCTCCGAAGCAGAGTTGCGTGGTATCTTTGGTCGGTACGGTACTGTTCAGACTTGTATTGTGAACAAGGACAAACGCCATGCGTTTGTCAAGATGTTGACCCGCCAGGATGCCGTTGCCGCAAAGGATGCTATGGAAGATGCCAGGGGTCTCGAATATCCCCTTCGAGTAAGTGCCATCCCCCCTTTTGTTTTACATCGTGTTATGAACTACAGTGTGCTGACTCTGATTTTGCAGACTCGATGGGGTGTAGGCTTTGGTCCCAGAGACTGCAGCGACTATTCCACGGGTATCAGCGTAATTCCCATCCACAAGCTCACCGACGCCGACCGCAAGTGGATGCTCACGGCTCCGTACGGCGGAAGCGGAGGACGGCCCATTGAGACGGGCATGTGCGTCGAGGAGCCCGACATTGAGATTGGTGCCGGTGTCTCGTCCAAGGCCATTAGCCGCCGTATGCAGACGGACAAGGGCGGCAGCAACGGCCCCAAGTCGACGCGCCACCGCGAGGATGACGGCGGCGGCCGCTGGCGTCGTGGCCGGGATGACGGCCCCGGGGGCCATGTGGATCTCGACAACCCGCAGCAGAACGGCGGCATGGGCGGCTTCCCCTTTGGCATTGGCACCCTGCCCAACGGCATGCCTAATTTCCCGCAGGGCTTTCGGTTTCCAGACCCCAACACTGCCGGGAGGACCTGAGTAGATGAGTCTTGTCGTTGAGATGGCACTTTGGGAGGTATCATTGGTTTTTATACGCCCCCGGCAATGTGAGCTGACAGTTTTTGGCCGAGGGTAATAACAAGCGGCATCAATCAGGCATGGAATGAATGGCGTCTGGCGAACGGGCTGGCCTTGTGGAATCGAGAAG